CTGCTGCCAGCGGGCTCAAGGCTGCGGCCCTGGCAGGTCCCTCAGATAAACAGGACACTATCACCAAGGTGGCCAACCCAGGGCTGTGGCCTGAAGCACTGGGGCACCCCGTGACTCAAACAGGGGGTTGCAGAGCAACCTGGTGCAGTGCTGTAGCTCATCATGGGGGTGGCCCTTCTGCAGTGCCTGACAAGTCCATGGGCTGGAGAACAGCAGTGGCCAGCAAAGCTACTGCAGGATGCAGGTGAGCCAAGAGTTCCACTGGGCTGTTCTGCTCTGCCCAGCCTGGCCCCTCTCAGAGCATCCCTTAAGAGCTGTCCTGCTCTTTGCCATGTTTCCCTCTCGTAGGACAATCGCCCATGGTCCCAGGCTCCTGAGGACTTGGGGACTGGTCCCTAAAGCACCACCAGAGTAGCTGCTTTTCTGTACATTCCCTCCTGGGCGCATCTGCCCCGTGGTGTCCCCCACGTTAATCAGGCACAAACCAGGACCCGGGGTTCCACATTCGTGCAGGCTGGCCCTGCCCCTGGGGGAACCACCTCACTCCAGCCTAGCTGTGCACAGGCACAAGCCTTCCTCTCCTGGGGCTGGAGCCCAGCAGTGAACCAATGAAGTTTTTGTCACTTTTTACTTGAACTCAGCTGCTGCCACTTCTGTAGCAATAAACAAACCCCTTGAGCCATTGAGATGGGTCTTGTCTTTTAGTAGCAACAGCTCCTAGCTGATGCCATGATGGGACCAACATGTCTGCATAGCACTGTTTCATGATGTAATTATACAGTTGCTTTCTTGCCTGCGTTCTCTAACTCCAGCAGTTCAGCTAGCTCAGCTCCAAAAGCTCCCAAGCAAAGGAAGCACTGATCCAACCTTAAAATCATAGAATAATTAGGGTTGGAAAGGACCTTAATATCATCCAGTTCCAACCCCCCTGCCGTGGGCAGGGACACCTTACGCTAAATCATATCACCCAAGGCCTTATCCAACCTGGTCTTGAACACTGCCAGGGATGGAGCATTCACAACCTCCCTGGGCAACCTATTCCAGTGCCTCACCACCCTAACAGGAAAGAATTTCCTCCTTATATCCAATCTAAACTTCCCCTGTTTAAGTTTTAACCCTTTACCCCTTGTCCTATCACTACAGTCCCTAATGAAGAGTCCCTCCCCAGCATCCCTATAGGCCCCCTTCAGATACTGGAAGGCTGCTATGAGGTCTCCATGCAGCCTTCTCTTCTCCAGGCTGAACAGCCCCAACTTTCTCAGCCTGTCTTCATACGGGAGGTGCTCCAGTCCCCTGATCATCCTCGTGGCCCTCCTCTGGACTTGTTCCGACAGTTCCATGTCCTTTTTATGTTGAGGACACCAGAACTGCACACAACACTCCAGGTGAGGTCTCACGAGAGCAGAGTAGAGGGGCAGGATCACCTCCTTCCACCTGCTGGTCATGCTCCTTTTGATGCAGCCCAGGATACGGTTGGCTTTCTGGGCTGCGAGCGCACACTGAAGCCGGCTCATGCTCATTTTCTCATCAACCAACACCCCCAAGTCCTTCTCAGGGCTGCTCTGAATCTCTTCTCTGCCCAACCTGTAGCTGTGCCTGGGATTGCTCTGACCCAGGTGTAGGACCTTGCACTTGCCATGGTTAAACTTCATGAGGTTGCCATCAGCCCACCTCACAAGCGTGTCGAGGTCCCTCTGGATGGCATTCCTTCCCTCCAGTGTATCAACCGAACCACACAGCTTGGTGTCATCGGCAAACTTGCTGAGGGCGCACTCAATCCCACTGCCCATGTCAGCGACAAAGATGTTAAACAAGACCGGTCCCAACACCGATCCCTGAGGGACGCCACTCGTTACTGGTCTCCAGCTGGACATTGAGCCATTGACCACAACTCTTTGCGTGCGGCCATCCAGCCAGTTCTTTATCCACCGAGTGGTCCATCCATCAAATTGATGTGTCTCCAATTTAGAGACAAGGATGTTGTGTGGGACAGTGTTGAACGCTTTACACAAGTCCAGGATGTCCATGGTAGACATCAACTGCTCTACCCCTGTCCATCAGTTCTGTAGCCCCATCATAGAAGGCCACCAGATTGGTCAGGCAGGATTTCCCCTTAGTGAAGCCATGCTGGCTGTCACCAAGCACCTTGTTGTTTTTCATGTGCCTTAGCATGCCTTCCAGGAGAATCTGCTCCAAGATTTTGCCAGGCACAGAGGTGAGACTGACTGGTCTGTAATTCCCTGGGTCATCCATTTTCCCCTTCTTGAAAATGGGGGTTATATTTCCCTTTTTCCAGTCGTCGGGAACTTCACCTGACTGCCATGATTTTTCAAATATGATGGCCAGCAGCTTTGCAACTTCATTCACCAGCTCCTTCAGGACCCATGGATGGATTTAATCAGGACCCATGGACTTGTGCACGTTCAGATTTTTAAGATGGTCTCGAACCAGATCCTCTCCTACAGTGGGTGCAAGGTCTTCATTCTCACAGACCCTGTGTCTGCCTTCCAAGACTTGGGTGGTTTGGTCAGAGTCTTTGCCAGTGAAGACCGAGGCAAAGAAGTCATTCAGAACCTCAGCCTTCTCCAAATCCTGTGTAGCCAGTTCTCCCGAGAGCTTCATGAGGGTGCCTACATTCTCCCTAGTCTGTTTTTTATTTGCTATGTACTTGTAGAATCCCTTCCTGTTATCTTTAATACCTCTAGCTAAGTTTAATTCTAACTGGGCCTTGGCTTTCCTAACCTGGTCCCTAGCTTCCCGGACAACATCCCTGTACTCTTCCCAGGCCACCTGTCCTTGCTTCCACTTATTATAAGCCTCTTTTTTCATTTGAATTTTCCTCAGGAGCTCCTTATCCATCCAAGGAGGTCTCCTGGCCCTCCTGCTGCACTTCCTTCTGGTTGGGATGCAACACTCCTGAGCCTGTAGCAGGTGATCCTTCAGTATCAACCAACAGTCTTGGGCCCCTCTGCCCTCTAGGGCTGTATCCCATGGAACCTTACTAAGCAGGTTCCTGAAGAGGCCAGAGTCTGCTCTTTTGAAGTCCAGGGCACTGAGCTTGCTGCACGCTCTTCTCACTGTCCTGAGGATCTCAAATTCGAGCATCTCATGATCGCTGCATCCAAGGCTGCCCTGGAGAGTCACATTTCCAACGAGCCCTTCCCTGTTGGTGAGCACGAGGTCAAGCACGGCACCTCTCCTTGTCGGCTCCTCTATTACTTGCAGAAGGAAGTTGTCTTCTACACAATCGAGGAACCTCCTGGATTGCTTGTGCCGGGCCGTACCGTCCTTCCAACAGATGTCAGGGTGGTGAAGTCACCCATGAGAACAAGGGCCTGCGAGTGTGAGGCTTTTCCTGTGTGTCTATGGAGTGCTTCATCCGCAGGTTCTCCTTGATCAGGCGGTCTGTAACAGATCCCCACGGTAATGTCTCCCATAGCTATATTCCCTTTAACCCTGACCCACAAACTCTCTGTTAACTGCTCACCTGTCCCCAGACAGAGTTCCATACTCTCCAGCCTATCCCTAACATAAAGGGCAACTCCCCCTCCCTGCCTGCCAGGCCTGTCTTTTCTAAAGAGCCTGTAACCTTCCATTCCAACACTCCAGTCATAGGAGCCATCCCACCATGTTTCTGTGATGCCTATTATATCATACCCCCGTAGACGTGCACACATCTCTAATTCCTCTTGTTTGTTCCCCATGCTACAGGCATTTGTATAGAGGCATCTGAGCCGAGCTCCAACTGAACCCGGCTCATTGGCTGGAGAAACCTTAACTGTTGTGATCCTTGGAGACAGCATCCTCTGCTGCCTTCCCCTAAACGGAAAAGCCTGGACACTTGGAGCCTCTGGAAGAGGCTTTTTACCTTATTCCCTACCCCAGCTGGGAAGCAGGCCACTAAGCTCTCCAGCTGCTGCACAGCTGTGGGGATGGCCCCAGCACAGGCACATACCACAGGTGAGCCTGGGCAGGTACCCAGTTCTCCTTCTAGCACATGCTGTTGCCTGTGTGTGACCCTGGTCCCACAGGACCACTGCACAGGTGGCATGAAGGAGAAAACTTTCCATGCACTGGTGTGCTTCCAACCTCCAGCCCAACAGCCAACGATCCTTGTTCTCATGGCGCAAGAGCATGGTTAGGGAGGAAGTCTGAATAAAGCCAAGACTGTTTCTCAGTCTCAACACAGCAAGTGACTGCCTCCAGCATCACTTACTAGGAAAAAGATTTATTTCCACAACACAAATTTAACAAATACAGACAAATAAATACAGATAAATTACCTCATAAATAAAGGGTAACCTAAAGCACATTGCCCTACTTGGTTCTTCTCAGAGCCTGGACACAGGTTGGGGTGGTGATGACACCTAGACGCTATACTGCAGCTCCCTCGCTGCTGAGATGGGAGGGGACACAGCACCCCTTTAATCCCCTGCAGCAGGCTGCTAAGCAAGGGAACCCCCCACCTTGCACCCAGCACCTCCCTCATCACACCCAAGGGGGCTGACATGCTCTTCCAGGATCAGCCTTCCCTTCTCCCACCCAGAATTGAAGCAAGGACCACCCCCACCACAGGGGACTGACCAGGCAACAGAGGATGCAATGGGCTCTTCCCTGCTCATGCAGAGGGGCAGCCGGTGCCTGAAATGAGCAGGGATATGGCAACTAGTTGAGTAGTTTGACTAAGAGCAGGGGTTTCCATTGGGGGGCTAGGGCTGAGTGCACGGGAGGGAGCAGGGCAAGTACCGCAGGGACAGGATCTGCTGGCACTACACACAGATCCCTCTCAGGACAGTGCTCAGTCTTAGTGACTGCAGCACTGGGCCAGCTGAGGGGATCTCTCCCTGGCAGTGTGGCTGCTCCCAGGGCCGGGCTGACTAGACCCTCATCCCAGAGTGCTGCCTCCTGTGCTCAGGGCCTGGTCCAGGTTGCAGTGCTCAGGGAGCGCTGGGGCACTGGGTCCAGCTTCTGTCCAGCTTCTGTCCCAGGACCTCGGGGGGGGGGGGGTGCCTGGTACAGGAGGCTGAAACAGCAGCAAGAGCTGGGGGAGGGAGAAAAGAGAAGCTAGCACCAAACTGCATCCATGAGGGAGCTCCCACAAATCTAGGGCACCACAAGCTCAGGGGGAAGTGGTCAGTTTGCTCAGCAACACCACACGGACACCAACTCACCACTGCCACAATGCACACAAGCCAGAATATCTCCCACCCACCAAGGGCCAGGCTGAACTCCCCAGCCAGACACTAGCAGGCAAGTGGGGACACCTCAGCCACCCCGGCCCTCTGTGCACTCACAGTGATGATTCGGGTAGGGGGGTCTCTGTTCAGGCACCGGCTCCTGGGGACTGCTCACTCCCAGAGGAAGCGCACGTACCAGATGGTCTCGTTCTTCAGCTGCGGCCCGAAAAGGGGGTTGGCCTGGGCCAGGATCGCAATCAGCCAGCTGCAATGGGACCCAACCTGCCGTCAGCCCCGGCAGCACATCCCAGGATTCCGGCAGGGTGCAGCCTCAAGGGGCCGGCAGAGAGGCTGCTGCCCCGGGAGGGAGGCAGGCCGCACGCCAAGGGCTGTCCCCACTCATCCACGAGCAGGAGGCTAAGCAGCAATCACTGGGCCGGTGAAACAGGGGGAGATAGGCGCCCTGTCCGCAGTACTTACAATAGGTAGCAGCACACGGCGGTGGTGACCAGCATCGTGATGATCACCCTGCGGAGACACCGGCGTTAGGAGCAGGAGGCCCGGTCCCGCAACCGCCACCCCCGGTATCCCTCCTCACTCACCCGCGGTTCGGCCCCTTGGGCACGAACCAGGGGGCGGCGATGCCCACGAGGCCCCAGAAGGCGGAGAAGAGAACAAGCGGCAGCGCAAAGCTGTGCGCCGTCATGGCCGCTCCGCGCCCACCGACCGACCGACCGACCGACCGCCGCCGCACCGGATGCCGCTCTGCCCCCAGCCGCACGCGGCGGCCAATCCGCGGGCGGAGCGGGGCGCGCTGGCGCCACCGCCGCCTCCCATTGGCGGATACGCGGAGCCAGGCGCACGCCGGACCAAAGCCAGGGGGCGCCAAAGGGAGCCCGCCCCTCCCCGGCGCGGCGGCGAGGCTCGGCGTCCCCTTCCCGCCCCCATATTCCGCCTCATATCCGCTGCCTCGGAGCCCTGCGCATCCCGCCTCACCTCGCTTCGGAAAGGAGGCACCAGCCAGACACCAGCCGCTCCGTAAAAACGCCTTTATGTTACAAAGCTCGCACTCGCACCCGCCACCTCCTCCCTGAGCGCATCCCCGTGCGCCCGGGGTGCAGGGTCTCTGCCACCTCTGGGCACAGCTGCCCCGGGGGGCTCTTCCGCCGGCAGGTTACTTGGGGACCCTCCGGAGCTCGCTCATGAACCAGAGCGCCATGCTCAGCAGTGCCAGGGAGCCCGACTGGTGTGTGGCCGCCAGAGGCGTGGGGACATACAGGAGTAGGGTGCTGATGCCCAGGCCCACCTGCCAAGAAGGGAGAAGGGGTAAGAGCATCTGTGAATGCACCACTGACACATCCCCAGCACAAAGTGCGATGTAGAAAGGCTCATGGCTACAGCCAGATTTGCCACCCTCCAATTCAGATGGTGCATGCAGTGAGGACCCAGGTCCAGGCTGCTCCACCTCTTCGCTCCCGCTCCTGGGGCCCGCACACACCCAAGCCGGGGATAACTATTTTGTGAGTACCTGCAAGCAAGCCACAGCCAATAAGGAAGTCACTGCCATCCTGGCCCTGCGAGGGAGCGGGATCTTCCGTGAGAAGAGGTACAGTGCTGCGACAGCTGTGACAGAAGTGATTCCCTATGGATGGGGAGAGAAACAATCACCTTTCAGGCAGAGTTCAAAGGAAATGGATGCAGTGGCCTCTGGCTGCACCTTCCACGCAATAGAAGAAATTCTGTGAGCAGTATTTAACTGTAGAAACATATCAGCATCCATGACCAAATCCTGGAATCCCATGCCCACCACGTTAATGACCCTGAAATTCAACTAAATTTATAGAGTTCAGTTTTTCTCCAAATTAATGCTTTACTTTCCAACAGCTTTTCCTCATTTCCTCATGTCTTCCTTAGGGATTATTTCTGCCCTCTCCCCATCTGCCACCTTGACAGCTAATGGTGAAAGCTTACCAGTGCTCTCTTGCTGTTTAGGTCACCTCAGGTGATTCCTCTTCTGTGTCACCTAATCTTTTCAACCTTAGTGATGGCCTAGCCCACAGCAGTGCTGGCACTAGTGTTTAGTATCTGGATTGCTCTAACTAGCTGAGATACTTTCAAAGGGTGCTAATGGTATAAAGCATGTCCAGAAGTGCTGGAGGAAGCATTCAGCAACAGGATTTCCAAGTTTTATTTCACTTTATTTCAACTTCCCTAGACACCTCAGTAGCGAGGGCTACTCTGGTCAGAAGTTGGTGTCATGGAAAAGGAGACACAAAGACTATAAATTGTGCAGGAAGAAGACGTCCTCAAGGAAGAAGACCATGCTGAAAATAAATGAGTGCTAAACTTCCTCTGTCTGCATAAGCAAATTGGTAACACGCTCTCAGGACCTTTGGGTGCCCTGGATATCACTCAAGCTGACAGAATCACAGCCCAAAGAGGACAAATTGGCTGCAGGAGGCAACTGAGAAGCAGCACAGACATAGCAGGAAGACGACACTTACCAAGATCCTGTGATCAAACTGTACAGTTGTAGGATTCTCAAAGATATTCTTCAGTATGGGGGAGAAGGCAAGGAGATCATCTGGGATCCAACGCTCCCCCATTTTGGGGAATGAATTGTACACAAGGCCAGCATCCAGCCCTGCCACAAAGGCTCCTGCAATTCCAGAGCATGAAATGAGACTTCCAGAGTAGGCGAAGGTGCACTGCAGGTTGTGCAGCTCTGATTCAAGAGCTCTGCTTGATCCTGATTTTCTTTTAGAAACATATACAGAGATCACACAGCAACAGGCAGGCTGGAAGGTGCCTCTCCACCTCCTCAGGAAGGACCAGCAAGGGAGGTTCTTGACTGTAGGTTCCCTGACAGCAATGAAGTTTTCCCAGAGAACATGATGGGGTTGCTCACAGTCCCAGATAAACCAGAGGAAGACAAAAAAATACAAAAGAGGGCATAAAGGAATGAACCACAGATGGGACAATGAAAGTCTTACCTGAAAGAGCTGTAAAGAAAATGAGAGCCGTAGTGCCATGAGCATATTGTCTCAAGCGAATGAGCTGATGGGTTTCAGGTAACTGTAAAATAAATAAATCAATGCAAAGCATTTCCAGCACTGTTTGCTGCAGGTAGGAAAAGCCTTAATGCATATACAAGACAAGGGGTTAGCCTGGATTTTACAGGAGGGATATAGAGACCACCACACAGCACAGCCACACTTCAGGTGTTCCTCTAAACCACAACTAATTGAGTCCAACCCTGTGCAGAAACTGAATTGGCCACTGGACAGTTACTGGCACAAGTGCTCAGCCAGGCACAGCCCTGCCTGAGCCTGCACGAACTCCAAGACTAACCACTTTAGAACGGAAGAGCATGAGACAAAGGAAGTCTCCCATAACCAAGAAGTTTACAGAAAGGGTGTTTTGTCATGCAGTACTGTATCAGAGTCAGGAACAGAGACTGAAAAGGAAGCACCACCACCTCTCACATCCTTCCCTCACCCTTCCCGTTAGCCCCCAACCCTCTGCTGAATTGACACTATCCTGACACACCATTCTGTACCTTGTGTCGTGGGAGCAGCAAGGACAGACCTGTCCACAGGCTAGCAGAGTACAAAATCAGTGCGGAGCCAAGGTGTGCTGCCAGACGGTACTGACTGACACGAGGAATGTCGTATGAGTCTGGCTTCTCTTCCAGCCCACTCTTCACCATGTACCACCCCAGCAGCCCCTGAAAACACAGGAGAAGGGTTACAGCCAGCCAGGGCAGCAGCAACCACTAAGAACAGGTAAACATTAGGGATAAAGCAACTTGTTTCCTCCACCTTCAACCACCTTGCAGCACTGACATCCTCCAAGCTTTCACGAATCCCTCTGTTTCAACTATGCTCAATCAGAAGGTATTCACAGGAGATGCTGCTGCTACGGAGCTCACTCACCTGGAAGCAGACCAGCCCACAGAGCGCAAGAACACAGCCCTTCATGGGGCGGCTGAGCCAGCCCTTTCGCCAGAAGTAGGCGGCAGGCAGGATGTAGGCCAAGCCCACAACGCGGCCCCACATGCGGTGCGAATACTCCATGTACCAGATGAACTTGAACTCTGTCAGTGTCATGTCATGATTCAGGCTGTTAAAGACAGTAAAAAATAACTGTTTCGTGGGATGTAGCAGTCCTATGCTGTACTTAGTGCAACATGGTGTCACCTTCCTCAGAGAAAGGAAGTGACAGTGAAGGAGCTACCATCAGACAGGCTTTGTGCACCTTCCTAGCGATGTTAGAAAGCATTTCCCCTCCCACAAGAGGCCCTCGAGTGGCTCAGTCACAGGGGGGACGCTCCCAGCCCACCCTCCTTCTGCTTTTGTACACTCACATTTTAAACTCTGGGAACTGCTGATACTTCTGGAACTCGGCTTCCCACTCTTGCTGTGTTCTTGGGGGTTTCATCTCTTTCACCAGATGCCAGTCAACCATAGAGAGGCCAGATTCTGTCAGCCTGGGAGAGATGCAAGCAAGCACAATTCACTCCCTTTCAGTATGCAAATGTACTGAACTGAAGTGAAAACTGTTATGTGCACCAGACAACCTTTAAATTCAGAGTTAGGATGGAGATCAGGGAGTCTGAGTGACCAGACAGACCTAAAATTACCAAAACTGTGTAAGAGGATGTTATCCCTAGCTGGCATCAGCACACTACGGGCAGTCTTTCTAGTACGTAAGGATGCAGACGTTACATTGGAGTGAGTCCAGAGGAAGGTCAGAGAGATGCTCTGGGGTCTGAAGCACCTCTCCTGTAAAGCAAAGCTGGGTGTTGGGGTTGTTCACCCTGAGGAACAGGCTTCAGGGAGACCTTAGAGCAGCGAGCAGCTTCCAGTGCCTAATGGGGGCCTACAAGAAATCTGGAGAGGGATTTTTAACAAGGGCATGTAGTGACAGGAAAAGGGGGAATGGCTTTAAAGTGGAAGAGAGTAGATTTAGATTGGACATTAGGAAGAAGTTCTTCCCTGTGTGGGTGCTGAGGTGCTGGCAGAGGGTGCCCAGAGAAGCTGTGGCTGCCCCATCCCTGTCCGTGTCAAAGGCCAGGTTGGATGAGGCTCTGAGCACCTGGTCTGGTGGAAGGTGCCCCTGCCCATAGCCAGGGGTTGGAACTGAATCATCTTCAAGGCCCTTCCAACCCAAACCATTCTGCGATACAATATGACCCTTATCCCCTAGTGTCCCCGTGCAACCAGGGAGGAAACACCCTACAGAGGCTACCACAGGTGTGCTTTGGTGGTGGTGGGGGAATCCCATGCGCGGAAGGCAGCTGCGGGCAGCTGTGACCGCTTAAGCGGGTCGCCGGTGCTGGGGATCGTCACCTCTACATGCCCTCAGCTCCACGCCCCTTCAAGGGCTTAAGCGCGGATCCAGCCCCGGCGCATAACCCGGAGCGGGCGGGGCGGGGAGCGCCGCGCTCACCTGGTGACGCCACCCAGCACCACGGCACCGGCCACGGCGCCGCTGCAGGCCAGGAGCCACCGCCCCACGGCTGGCGGGGCGGCGGGCGGCGGGGTCTGCTGCAGGAGCCGCCGCTGGAGGCCCCGCTGCAAGGGGAAGCAGCCGGGGGCCGGGGTCGGGCCCAGCGCGAGCCGGACGCCGCCGCGCGCCGCACGCATCATCTTCCGCGCGCACGGCGGAAGTGTCGCGCGCGCGCCGGAAGCCGTGGGGAGAGCCGCTTCCGGACACGTCCGGGCGTCACCATGACAATCCCCGGCACGTGACCGAGAGCCAAGCAGCGAC